CAGAATGGAAAACATATGGAACAACTTTTATAATATGAATATATTTTTTCCGTAATATTTGTTCTTTCTTTCTTTCGGAATTCTATCTCCGACGTAGTTAGCGAGATCGTTCAACGCGAAAACAAGAAGAGTTCTGCGTGGGCCTACATTAGGAGATATTGTTGTCCGTTATTAAGGCAATTTCAAAGTTTTATTATGATTATCTGTTTACGGAACCCGCTTCGAAAAATAGTGCGTGTATCTTAGACGAGTCAAGCGTTGGTCCAGTGTCACCATCGCTTGAGAATTTTCTATTCCGACTTTCCCACATGGCGTACCGCTGCACAACTGATTCTCATGTGGCGATTCTCTACCAACACTTAGGCAGCATCAGTGAACTTCAGCTGTGCAGCAGGAGTGCCATCAGCACACGAATGGACTGGACGTAACAACAAAAGCATTACAAAACGTACAAACCGGTAATCAGACAATCTCATGTTGGAGTGAGGGATTTTAAGCACTGCAGATCGCGGAATATGATCCAATCAGATCGCAGAAAGGGTCAGAGGGAATTTACTTGCCTAAGGTCACGGGTGAGAGGGACGAGGCGATAATAAGCGATGGAGCAATCGCACTGTAGTTCTAGGAAAGCCAACCCACGTTGACTCCCCCCCCCCCGTACTGAATGCAAACTGAGTATGTGGACTGATTTGAATGGGGATGAATTTTAGAGTGCCTGATCAAAATACGCGATGCTATGCCCATTCTGTGCACAAATATGTTAGATTTTTTTCATTGAACACCTAAATGTGATGAACAGCAGACGGCCGAACCCCATAGCCACGAGGACTTGCTGTTCGGTGGTGGAATCCGGCAACCTAAGCCGCGAGACTTGGAGTGGTGAACCACATGACACCCCAATAGATTAGGCGTGGTATTGAACCGGACGACAGTAGAGCTGCCTACCACCAAAGTCGGGTGGCGGTGGTGGGGCTCGAACCTTGGACCACAGGGTCTAAAGCACGCCGGAAATGATTCCTGGGAGAGGGCGAAAATACTAGATAAGTAGAAATGTGGCACTTGGTTTATGCAATGAATAAACGCTTTACTCAAGTCAACTTTTAATTTAAATTTTCGCATTCATCAAGCGTTTTGAACCCGAACTGATGTAGTGAGATTGGAGACTGTTACTATATTATGTTATCAACATGTAACCAATTACAGAGAACTGGCAAATGTGCCACAGCGTATGAACAAAAAGAAATCTAAAGAATGTGTTCATTGGAGACTGTTGATGAAACATGGTACACTTTTATTGTCCCTGTCATCAATTCCATTGTCTATCTCAGAAAAAGATTATGAAGGGTTCACTTCACAATTATCTTCTAATTGTCTTGAGACACTCTTTCTTTTCTCTTGCCCCTCATTTGGTTGATAGGAATTTCCGGTATTCGCTCGGTTGCTGCGTAAACTGGGCCCACAAAATCTGTACACTTGTCTGGCAAACTTTCATCTGCTCGCTTGGCTGGCCAATTACGACCAGTTACCACTTGCTTTGCACGAAGAGAACGGACATTGGGTGGAAGAGCCACAAGGAATCACCGGTCTGTTGGATGCAATCGCCTTGGCTTCACGCGCTAACGAAGATGACCAACCATCTGTGCCGGCCGAGCAACGCATCAAATTGGCCTCAAGTGCCGTGTCCAAATGGGCCGGGGAATCGTCTGCTTGGGCGACAGTGAATGAATTGGTCCGGGCCAGCGGTGAGTTCCCCCCCCCCATCGTTTACCATTAAGGTGGTCCTGCCGATTGTGCCTCCTTGTAGTATTCCCACTGCTTCTGTATCCACTCATTGAAGTGAATACTTCGGACGAACGTTCAAACAGTAACTGTAATAGGTTTTAAAGGTGATTTCGTGGTGTATATAGCAAATGAAGCGTGAACCGAAAAGCTAGGAAGCACTGGACAGCTGTTTCGGCCCGGTTGGGTCTCACCAGCAGTGCGAATCCATCGACCCAACTGGGGATCGAACCCGGGACTTCATGGGCAGAACGCAAGCATGCTACTCAATACGCCACCGGGCAGTTGATCAGAAATGAAAAGGAAAGGAATAAAAAGGTGTGGTGATCGTATGCTGCGCAGTTGCCCATCATAATGGTATCAAATGCTGCACCATATATTGATTGGAAAAGATTTAAACAATGCGCCCGTATCATCAAACCTCTACGCAGATCTCGTACAGTTCTTAATGGGCGAACTAAGCTATTTGAAACGCTCATTTGTTTGGAATTTACTGAAGGCCTCTTCTGGCGGGTTAGAAAAAGGACTGTATGGTGGTAGAATAACTGTCTATCCGGCACTCCATCAATCGAAGTCTTACTGATCAATGTGCTCGGGAAGTCCTCCTCCTACTTCATTTAACTCCCTCAACATGGTGGTTGCGTTATCGTAAATAACATCACACGAATGTTTTTTTGAACTCATCGTTGAACTTCACCTCGTAAGATCCAGGTTTGAGCGCTGTTTCCCGATCCGTGGTGGCTTTTGCACGACATGTTTTGA